TTTTGAGACACAAAACACATGGGAATGTTGTGGTGATACATTACAGACTTAACAATGTATTTCTCCAGCTGAATAAGTCCAGCCTGCTCACCCTAAATTCAGATTTTAATGCTCCTTAATGGACAAACAGATGTTTCACACTGACAGGTTGTATACATGTACACTTTCTGTTCTGATGCAAATGCAAGCAGTGCGTGGAGACAAAGCAATGAAGGTATTGATTACAGTACATAAAAGTTCATTCAAAAAATGCAACACTACACCTTGGACTGAAACCTTCACATTCACTCTCTGTTCAAAATTTTTATTTATATATAATTTTTGTATATAATATGACTGTAGCGTTCTTAGAATGACAAATATGAGTGATTTGAATGTTTTATGGAAAATTAGGGTCTACATGTGCTTCCCATCAATTTAAGCAGTGAAATATGTGTTCTTATTTAATGTAATAAGTACCAAAACGCGATCCGCCAGTTACAGTGTGTAGAATGGATAAGAAGCTGGAATGCTTTTCCTCTTCTTTTTGCTTGCAATGTTTTGACAAGAAATAAATAATCTGGAAAACAAATCACATACAGCTTTCTCCACAACGTGTAATTGAAATATGTAAAATAACCTGTGTTGTTTATATAGTAATTCACTCCTGTGGGGAAGGATGAGTGACTGAGTAGATATTTGACAAAGGTCATCAAATAACCATCTTAATTAGAGACACTGTTTTTCCAGTGATGTTTATTTCATCTCATGACGTACCCAGACAATGTGGGAATATGTTAACTGCAATAGTCATGTAAAATTCTCAAGATGTTTATTATTTTAAAGACCTCTCTTGCATTGTACACTCTAAGAGTGTTTCAATATTAGACATAAGTGATGTTGAGATTATCTGGGTAATCCAAGTCCCTTAATGTTTAGTACATACTTGGAAAAGGATTTATGGATCTACAAAAGCAATTGGCTCTGTTGTCTTTGCTACTATATTATGACTGAAACAGTCTACAGTTTGGACAACAGAGATCTATTCTTTGCTTTGACTCTTTTGACAAAATCTAGTTGGCTTCGTAAAATACTGCATTTTCAAACAAATGTCAAACATACTCCATAAATTGTTTTTGAAAGTTAATTGTTGACAAACGAAAATATAAACTTGTCCTATGTAAAGTGACTTATATAAAGAAAAGTGAATTGGTTGACCAAAGTCCAGGTGATCCACTAAACTCCAAACTGTAGGATCTGCTGCAATCTGAACTTTGAATATCATTTGCCAGTGAGCCTGCGATGACAGCACATTCCTTCTATAAACTCTGTTTAAAAGCTTATTTGACAAAATCCTGCTTACATTAAACATGTAAATCTGTGATTTATTTAGATTCCTTCCATTTTGCCAATATAAGATTTGCCAAGATATATTTATATATACATACATATACACGTGTATACACACACACACACACACACACACACACACACACACACTGACAAAGGATTACAGGCTACCGTGCCTGAGCCCGACCTGACACACAGTGTTGCTCGCCGGGGGAAGCTGCCGGCTGGGTGTCGGTGGGTGCCCTGCTCCGGTGTGAGACCCCTGTTGCTTTAAGCAGTGCGTTGTGTCGTCCGACAGGAGGCGTGTCTCCCCTACGGCCGGAGTGCCGCTACCAGATGCAATACGGGGGAAGCATATCGGCTCCTACATAGAAACAAATCAACTTCTTTGTGCGGGTCTGGTGACTGTTTCCTGCTCCAGCTCTGTCCAAGGTAAGCCCGTCGTTTTTTGTTTTTTTTTTTCTTTGTTGTTGGTTTTTTGTTTGTTTGTTATTTTTTCCCCAAAAACTTTACATTTATTTTCATGTTTAAGTAATCTTCAGTCTATTTTTTTTTCGCTTCACACGTTTTTACGAACAGGTCATGTCTTTGGAAACTGGCGAGACCTAAAAAGAAGCTTTTCAGGGAGGTTTCTAACGCGGACAAAACACCAGCAAGGTGCCTCACCGGTCGGGCTTGAAGTTCGTCTCAGCAGTTAATCGGAGCGAAGTCGCTTTTCATGTGAACACTCAGAGCGCAAAGAACATTTAAATGTTTCACAAATATGCTCTGACTTTTGTGTAATAAGCTCTGGAAAGACGTGACCTCCCGTGTCTTTGCCCGACCTCTGTCTGGAAAAGCTTGTCACCTTTTCGGGTTCCTGCTGTTCCTCGGCCTGATGTCTTCACTGTTGTGGGCTGTGAGGCATTATGGGGTCGCTAAATGCTTCCCGTGTGTCGCTTTAGAAATGATCCGTAGATAACGATATCCAGCTCACAGGGCTGGATGGAAACTCTCGGAGTCGAGCCGCGCATTTAAATCCCACCACTGATGAGCACATTAGCTTTAAATCAACTTTATCATCAGGCAGTGTTGCCATGTGGAGGGGCTCCCCGGTTCGACAGCCTTTTATTAAATGCACACACAGACATTTGGTGAGCTGCAGCTCTATCCGTAAAAGAGGTGGATATGAAAAAAAAATCCAGATGAGTATATACATTGGTGCTAACTGTACTTTTTAAAAATAAATGTATTTTTATCTGCCAGCTTTGCGCACTCCATCAGCTCTTCGTGGGCAGTACGCACGGCCATCAAAAAGTATGGCTTTGTGTTATTGTTAGTTCTGGGCTGTTCCTTCTTATCCTGACTTCAGTGTCAGACAAACTACTCGGCCCGTGTACTGTTTGCCAGAATTTGTTTTACTCCTCTCCCCTCTTAGTCACATATTAGCTCAGGAAACCCACTGACATCCGCTACAGTTTGATAATCAGGAAAATAACTCAAACCGCCGATTCTAAAAACTGAGAAATCAAGTTAAGAGTGCGAAGTGCCAGTTGTGGATTTACCGCAGTAGCCTATATAATGCGTTTTAATATGGTTACTTAAATATTTTTATGAGGCTTGTATCTTTATTTACATGTATCATGTACATACCATTTATATAATAGTTAATTACAAAATTGCAAACATATTGGTCAGTCATGCTGGGTACTTTCTTGGGTATTGGCCACAATAATTGGAAGCTAATATGGATGCAGAAGATGTTGGGGAAATACAAATGTTTCACCTTTAGGCTCAAAGTGTATCATCATCATATGGACCGGATCCAAACGGAACAACCCGCTGTTGTTTAAGGAGGCAAACGAGCAGAGGATGCTGGAGAAAACAAATAAATAGAAGCAGATGTGATGCCACGGATTCGCTGCAGAGACCTTAGCAGTGCAGAGACGTGTGAGTCTTTGTCAGTGGTGCTGAAACACAGAACACATGTTCTTATTGAGAACACAGACGCTGTCCAGGTCTTGAAACCTCCGCGGTGCAGAACAGTGACCCGGACTGAGCCGCTGTCCGTGGTGCTGAAATGTCGTCCAGCAGAGCCGGCTTCAGCACACTGTCTCAGCCGTGGCCTAAACGGTATGCAGGTTACTGTCAAGAGGCTGTTAAATCTAATATTATATTATATTATATAACAGAAAAGAAGCTTAGTAAGTATTTTATCATAGCTTATTGTTTTTCTGTAAATATTGTTGTTTTTTATTGATTGCCGACCGCCTGCAGTACAGGCCAGCTCTTTTTATTGGCCCTCTGCTACACTTCCACACCTCATACTTGATCCTGTCTGCGTTGACATGGTTAGAAAATAAATATTTAGAAATATTTAGAGACTATGCATCACATTACCAGTAAACAATAGTCCAAATTGGACGGAAATGTCTACAAGCATTAACAGACCACGGGAATAAAACTAAATGTGCTGCTGCGTCCAGAAATTCATTCATACCAACCCGTTTCCTTCTAATGTCGTTGAAGAAGTTTCAGTTTCATTTGTAAATGCCTGATTAAAGTCCAGCCTGTGGGAAATATTGAATTTCACACATTTATTTCTGTCGGTGTTTGTAAACATTGTTAGTAATTCACTGGACATAAAAGAGACACAATGGTATTTCCGTCCAAGTCAGAGGACACGAATAAAAAACAAACTTAATATGGAGTTGTTTTATTTCATTTTTAAAAAATAAATATATATATATAATAAGCTGTATAGTCAGTCACTCAGTCTGATAAATAGTAGAAAAAGAAAAGGGAAAAAAAAGTAATATTCCAAAGACAGAACATGCGTGCTGAAAGTGAGCGGGGGTGAGCAGAGGCTATTCATCATATTGAGTGTACAGTGACAGGTTTGCTTCACGGTGCCCTCACATGAGTCCAAGCTTGACTGACTCCGATCAAACACAGGCGATCATTTCAAATTCATAGATTGGCTTTTATACGGCTGTGCACTACTGCGCTCCGCTGCCAGCAACGGCGATTGAATCGAACCGAAGAGAAATCTGAGAAAACCGGAGAGCGGTGGCTGGCCGGCCGAGGACACGACATCAGGGAAAGAGAGGGAAGCGAGGAGGGAGGGGTGGGGGAGGCATGGCAGTTTCGGCAGGGTATACAGATCAAAGGGCGAAGTGTGGCCAGAACTAGCGGAGAAACATGCCCGATCTATCCTGTGCGCTTTCACACTACTAGTGTTGGCTCGACGTCAGATGCTGTGCGGCAGTGCAGCAAGAGGAGCTCGGGCTGGCGAGGCTGCTGAGACCGCCGCTCCACTCACTCTCACTCTCACTTGGTCACGCTGGATCTCCCCTCTCTCACCCCCTTCAATCTCTGCCTTTGTCTTTCAGTAAATGGATTTCTTCAAGCCCTGCCCTGCCTAACATGGATGCCCCGCCACCACCACCACCTCAACCATCATCTTCCTCAGCTGAGTCCGAGGGCTGTTTCTTCTTGGCGCAGTGAGCTGGACACGCAGTAATTCTTTAGCCAAATGGATGTGGGAAAATCGTTGCTCAGCCCGCCGGTGAAGATCATGCCGTGATCTTCCAGCTGCCTGAATTCACGTTAAAGGGGGTACAGAAAAAAAAAATATCTGGGGAATATACCGATTCAGGGAATAAAAAAATCGTGTGCACCACACAAGCACCATGAAGATTACCTTCCTGCTGATATTTAAGGCGAGATTCAGGTGCATCGTCAGGCTTCTACTGCTGCTATTACACTGTGTGGGATACTCTCATGGGATGCCACACGTCCTGAGATTTGGTGAGCTTCTTCTCTTTTCTCTTCTATTGCAGCCCTAAAAGTTTCACTGGTGTGTTTTGTATACATAAAGAATCTTGCTCTCATCGTGACCTGTTGGAAACTCACTTTCCCTTCCTTTCCCCACTTGTGGAAAGTCGTTGGAGTAGCTGTTTCAGTATCATTTCAATGTAACAGGACTTTAGAAGCAACAACACTCCCAATACAAAACTGCCAAAGAGAGAAATCAATGTATAAAAAGCCTATTTCACAAGGAGGCAAGAGTGGGCAGTATGTAACCTGTTGCTATTTCTAAAGTTTGAAATTCCAACATTTGATATTCACAGATATGTTTTTCCTGACACCACATGTCTGTTGTGTTCACAATGTTGCCTAGGAGAGATATGTTTATGCCACACACTTGTGTGTGTGAGATGTAGTGATTTCAGGTTTTATTGTTGTGTGTATTCACGTATACATTTGCATTTTCTGGTGGTGTGTGTGAATCTGGATGAGAAAATAGACAGTCCCATTTAAAAAAAATAAATAATAATTACAATAATTTCATTTATGTTTTACAAAGCATTGGATGCATAATTTTGACGTTGTGCTGACACGCTTCGTCTATAGTTCAAACACATTCTACATATTTTATTTTGCTATTAGAGAAATGTTTTTGGATAATCTTTTGAGCCACCCTTTGCCCGTTAAGAAACCTTAAAAATAAAAAGGGCTAAATTTCATTAACACAATTCGCTGTTTTCGACATATTGCCACAACATGATGCACACACAGGACATATTGTACCCCATGTCCACATGTCTTTCATTAAAAAGGAAAAGCTGTAGTCTTATATGATTTTATAAATAACATAAAGCCCACTAGGCTTGATTTATTCATCGTTTAATCTGATGCTGGGTTCAGCAGTTGGCAAGAGGTCAAAGCCGCTGATTTGATTCACATAGTGTGACAATAACTAGAGGATGACACTAGAAAGAAGCAAAAACATGGCAGAAACTAAATAATTCACATGAAGCATTTTATTTCATTTAGCTTATTATCCATGTATGTTATCAAAAAAACACATTGTAACATGATCGCACAGATGCAAGCGTACATGTGTACTATCAAGAGCAAGAGCTATATTGCCATGGACAGATGCATTTTTTTATTGAATAAATCAACTATTTTACTTCTAGAAAACAATATAAAAGAAAATAAAATCCCCTGCAAATAAATACATATTCTGTAGTACCAAAATGTACTAATGGAAAGTCATAAAATATGGACAGATTTTTCTGCTGATGAAGCAGTACTGGATTTGTGTGTGTGTGTGAGAAGTGTTGACAGATAGAGCTTTTATCATTCAGGAAAAGTCCCTGCGCCCCACTACATCCAATTGTATACTTACAGTCCTTTACCGTTCTTTGGTTGAACAGTTAGAACCTGACTCTGTCTGTCCGACAACACACCTAGAGATTGCTCTGTTGATCGCTACCACCACTCGTGTGGTGGCAAATATGTTTAGCAGGCGTCTGTGAACCTTTGATGACAGATTTCAGTTTGAGTTCAGGCGCACGCGTGC